TCCACCAAGTATGAGAAGAGAAGCAAAACCAGACAAGACCTAACAAAACCCATTCATGGCAACAGAACCCTCCAATTAGCAAGTTCTGTGTGAACTAGCAGAGACTGTGCCTAATCCTGACCCAAACTAAATTAAATGTTGTAGAGGTTCATGTGAAGGCTTGCTTGAGTCTTAGGTTTATCTTGATACCACCTATCAAGTTTTATGGTTTTTCTGAAAAGCTTAGAATTCCTTGGTAAGCTGCATACACTTGGAGCACATTGGAGAAATAGCAGTGGAGAGGTGGGAGTACATTGGACTTCGCAGGTCTGGGGTGCACATGTTGGCTGTGCCGCTCACCAGCCAGGGCTGCTTGGGCAAGGTGCTCTCTCTCTTTCTCTCTCTCAACCCCAGTTGCCTTGGTTGCAAAATGGAGGCAATACCTGCCTCCCAGGATTAGTCACTTGAGAAAATGAATGTGAAAGCATTTTGTAAACTATAAAGTGTGATGATGATATGGTTATTATGCCCATTCAGTTCATGTAGAGATTGCTGATAATTTGCATTATAATTATAATTACAACCTAAGGGGGGGACCAAAATCACTAATAAATATATTTAGAACTAGAAGGAATTTTTATGATCATAAAAATCCAACCTATCTGATTTATAGGTAAAGATTTTGAGGCCCAAGGGAGGCTAAAAGTATGCTAGCTAACAAGATTATATAGTTTCTTGGTGGCGCCCCTAAGTTAGGGCAAGCCTGGGTACCTTACTCTGGACTTGAGTCTTTCTGCCAGACCACACACAGCACCTACAACTCATTCTGTCCACAGACAGCCAGACGGACCTGGCTGTGCCTTCCTGACGTCACAAGAACAGCAGGTGCAGGTGATTCAGGCCTCAGTTGCTTCAGTCCCATGGCCACTTTGCCAGTCGGTCATAGCCTTGTAATCTTGCAGCAACTTGGAGCCAGGCATAGCTGTGTATAGGAGTTGGCCACATGTATTAATATTCCTGGCCTGGGTGAGGGACAGGAGTTTTTTAGATTAGAAAAGGTTAAGGGGATAGGTTAAAATTGCAGGGTCTGTTTCTTTAGGAAGCTTGGTTGACAGTTAAGCTTTCAGAAACATCCTCATTCCCCTAATTCCTATTCATATGCCACATGTTTTTTGCCTTTGGGATTTTTCTTCCTAGATCACTATAAATAAAACTATGGGTAGGACTCCTGGCCTTTTGGTTTAAGATAAAGCTGGGAAATTCCTTTAAATTCCTCTTTTCCTCCTCAGAATGTCTCTATCCTTTCTCCCCACCTCTGGAGGTGAGTGTACCTCCTCTTGGCTAGGGCCAACTGTTCCACCCATACCATTGAGCCATTTTCCCATTGGCGTTTCCCCTACCTGTGCACAGAGGACCTGCTTGTTTGGGCCCTGAGGATCTCTTCCTCCAGATCTTATAACCCTCATTTACTAGTCTTACCGTCACCACCTCTTCCTTGTCTTCCCCCCCCCCCATCCTCTAACCCTCTGTAACCTGGCTTCTGTTTTTATTAACCCACTGACCTCCTCATTCACACACTGGATTTCCTTTTCTCTGACTTTTACTGCTTGTTCTTTTTTGCAGCAGTTATACCATCTACCCCCTTTTCTCCTTGAAACCTCTCTCTTCTCTGAATTTTCATTCTGCAACTCCCTGATGTCTCCACTGGCTTTTCTTTTCCTCCCAAACCCAGGCCTTCCCCAGGGCTCTGTGCTCAGCCTCTTGCCTCTTACCTCCCTTCCTAGTTTAATCTCACAAATGCCTCAACTCCCACCCCTATGCACAGGACTGTATCTTCAGTCTTGAGCTGTAGTTCCACATCCCTGACTGCTCTGGACGTGTCACCTGCTGGTGTTGTAAGTAACTCAGATTCAGCCTGTAAAGAAGGAAATGTCCAAACCTTCCCCACACCTCCTAGCCAGCTCTAAACAACCTCCACCCCAGTTGTCTTTGACTCTTTGAACATCCCACAAACAGGTGGTTACCAAAGACCTATGGATTAACTCTGACATTAACCCATTCCTTTTTATCCCTGATTGTTCTTTTGACAGGGACAATTGGAGTAATCACCCAACTCACCTTGCTGCCTTTATTTCCTCTCCTAACTTACAGCTGCCAGGTTAATCATCTCTACAGCCCAGCCCAGGCCCTGATACTGCTCTGGCTTGAAAGTCCCCAACACCTCCCAGCCCAGGCTCGGTTCTAACCTGCCTCTCCCGGCTTCCCTCCCAACCTGGCAGCTCCTTATGCTCCAGCCAACTGCAGCACTTGCTATCCACCAGGCAGTCTGTGCTTTTACTATGCTGCTTTCTCCCACTGGGAGAGGAGAGGAGGCTTCTGCCTCATTCCAGCCGGTTGATGTCTACCTGTATTCCAAGGTTGGGTCAGAGTTCTCGCCCCTCCACTTCCCTTCCTCCAGAAGGCAGATGTGACCCTCCCTGTCCTCTGAACAAACTACCCTCTGCTAGTTCTTACTTTATTCTTTTGGCATTTTACTTGTTTGGATGTTTGTCCCATTTCCCTTGGCTAGCAGTTCTCCTAATCATTTTTTAGTCTTCCAAAACATTCAGCTGTGTGTCTTGCACACATTGAATACTGTAAATACAGCCCAGTAAACACTGGAGAAATAAAGAATGAGTTGCTCTGGCCTTCCTTTCTATCCTCTCCACTGCTGACTTGGAGCTGGTTAGAAGGGCCACAGGATTGTGTCTTCTTCCCTGGTCCCATCACACCAAGTGATTTCCCATTTCTTATATCCTATCCCTTCCCCAGCCTCTAAATCTTTCTAATACTTACATGTGTTCACTCTGCCTAGATTGTTCTGTGTTGGTTCCTAAGGATGGGGTTCCAGCTAGTGTAGTGTACTGTTGGCTTCATCAGTCTCAGTTCATCACATTATATGTAATCTGGCTAATTAGAAAGCTTATTGCATGTACTTCCTCATACCAGAGGGTGCTGTAAGGGAAATACTAAGTAGTCACTATTTCTTCATTAAGTGGTTTAAAGATGAAAAATAAAATGTTATAAATTGGCAACACATTTTTATAATCTCATTTTCTGTGCCATAACTGGACACTTAAGAGACTTACTGCTTTACCAGTATAATAATGAAGAGGGACCTGTTGAAAAGATTTTCACTGAGACAATTGTCCATTCTATTTGTCTTTGTAGTCCTGATGTGATGTGGGAGGTCTGGGGACAGGGGATGCAAGGAAAGGTGCATTTTGAAAAATAGACCTGTAATTTTAAATAGCATGACAATTTTTAGAGCATTTTCTTTTTTTTTTTTTTTTTGAGACGGAGCCTCAAGCTATCCCCCTGGGTAGAGTGCCATGGCATTACAGCTCACAGCAACCTCCAACTCCTGGGCTCAAGCGAGTCTCCTGCCTCAGCCTCCCAAGTAGCTGGGACTACAGGCGCCCGCCACAATGCCTGGCCAATTTTTAGAGCATTTTCGTATCATCTCCTCAGTGACCTTGTAGAGGTGGATATTAATAATTCCTCAGTCTGATGACTGAGGTTTAGAAAGAATCCAGGGTTTCTTCTAAGGTCACAGGGTGATTAAGAGGTTTGGCCAGGACTAGCAACTCAAGTCTTAGGAATAGTAGTCAAGTGATTTTTCCAAGACCCAGTGTTTGCCACCTTCCTGCCTAACTCCCATCAACATGGTGAACTGGCTACAGTCAGAGGGCTTTAAAAAATATAGTACATCTTGGGTGATGAAAAAGGTTGTCTCATCCTGGTTGGGCCTGACTTTACAAAGCCAAAGGTTGATAACTGTGGATGTACTAAAACCCAGTTGTGTGGCTGGAAGGAGTAGGTTGTTCAGAGTGGGAGTCAGCTAGGCTCTGGGTTTGTTTTAACTCTAGCCCTGGACAGGATGCAGTTGCTTCAATTACAAGGGCCCTGGGGACTGAAGTGAACCTGGGGTGGGAGCCCACCTCTTCAGCACAGATTAGAATCCCTTAGGAAGGAAATTACCTTCTTCAGAACATTGCTGCAGGGCTTCAAACTGGAAACGCCAAATGTGTAATTTGTTGTCTGTTTTAGTGAGCAAAGGGGTTGGGGTAGGAGGACCAGAGTCCATTATTTCTCAAGAACACATTTTGATCGTGTATTTTTTACGTACCGGAGTTTATTTTTAGATTGAGATTTGTGGGAGAAGCAGCTAAGGAACAGAAATTTAAAATGCTGGAGACCCAAAAGTTTGGAGACCTTGTTTTACAAAATCGAAGTTGGATTTGCGGGTAATTTCGGTTCTTTTATCTCCCTCCCCATCAGGTCGTAAACTCGGCCAGGTTAGGCATCCTGGTGGTGTTTACCCGCGTACCTTTCTCCCACAATGCCTTGCAAACCCGGGCGCCCATAAATCTTCCTTGCGTGGAATTACTATTACAGGGCCGGTGTGATCCCAGAAAACCTGCGGCGTAACGTCCCCTGATGGCAGCCTAGGTCGGCTGAGAAGATTCTTCAGCCTGAAATTACACCTCCCCTGCTGCGGCCCGCGTGGCCAGCCCCGCGCCTGAGGCCTCGCCCGCCCAGGTGCGCCCCGCGTCAGCCCCGCGGGCGCCAACAGCGACCGCGGCGCGCTGGCCTCGACCTGAGGGCCGCTTACCCTCGCGGGCCACGGGCGTGCGTGCTCTCCTCCTCCTGTGATAGTAATCGGAGACTTTTCTGTTAAATGAGGCTCTCAACAAAAGCTTGTAATTCCAGCAGCTTTGTTTGGGGAGGTGCCGCGGCGGCTCCGGCCCGCGGCGCGTCCAAGCCCGCCCCGGGGGCGCCGGGGGCGGCCACCGGCCATGTGGGCTCGGCGGCCGGCGGGGTCGCAGGCCGGTCCGGCCTCCCCCGGCCCGTCCTCGTGGTACAGCCTGCGTTTCCTCTACAATGCTGTTATGCTAATCAGGTGACATCACCGCCCAGCACACGGCGAGTGGCTCCTGATTAAATTACAAACCGGCGGCCGCCGCGGGCAGCCGGGAGGAGGTGTGTGCGCTGCTCCCGCGAGCTCCCAGGCTCGGCGGCCGCGGCACGCCTAGGATTGGCCGTATTTTTAACAAATTTTTAACTAGGATTTGCGTCTCTCTGCTTCTCTCCCTCCTTACTTCCTCTATAACTGATTGCGAGCTTCTAGGCAAGGGCCACAGAAGGAAGGAGAGCAACGAGGAATTAGATCCTTGAGTGGTAACTCCTCGCTGGGCTAAGGTGGACTCTCCTGCAGCCAACTTCCTATCAGATCTCCCTGCTGGACTTTCAGACCGGAATGGGGCTCGCTTAAGGTCCAGCCCTTTCCACCGGGGCGGGAGCCCAGCCGCGCGGAAGCTGCTGAGTGTTGGATGGGGATAGGAGGGGGCCAGAGCGGGATTTACGCGGTGCAGCCCGCCCGGGCGTTACGCCGGGCATAATGGAATTGCAGAGGACGTCTAGCATCTCTGGGCCGCTGTCGCCAGGGTACACTGGGCAGGTGCCTTACAACTACAATCAGCTAGAAGGGAGATTCAAGCAGCTCCAAGGTAAGCCCGCTCCCCAGGGTTGGGCCTGCCCTGGGGCTGTGCCAGTGGGGGGTTCTTGAGGCTTTATTTGTGCCATATGGTACGTGATCCTAATGAAGACGGGAGGCCGCTCAGCTCAGCCCCAAAGCCTCTGGTTGGCTGAGGGCACCCCATTCACGACGTAAAGGAGGCAGTTGGTCACACTGTACTCCAGAGAAGCCACCATTTGGAGTCTGTCTCTCTCTAGTATCTTTCTGCTCTCCTGGTTGTCAGGTATTCCCTGGCCACTGCGCACAATTTTCTTTTAGCTAACTTTGCATCTCGACAGGTTTATACTCTGTCTAGACCAATTAGTATGCAAGTATTTGATTCCGGGGCACCTCTGGCTTCCTGCCCCCAGTCTCTTACCTCTGGGAAGCCTTAAAGGTATAAAGTGCACTGCTGCGGACCCAGTCCTGTAGAACAATAGGAAAGGGGAGGAGGGAGTGGTCTTTTTGTTCCTAAGCCTTCAGTAAATTACAGTTTTGATTCTGAAGCTTAATTTTAACTTTTTTGATGTATTGTGTTGGGGGAGAACCTTGCCATCAATTTAGTGGGCTATGTAATTTATAATGAAAGCTAGTTATTGTCATTCCACCACTACAGGCTGGATTAGATGGATCAATTATAGGTTTTTTTGTAGTCTGTATTGAGCTCAAATAATTGGATGAGTCCAGTATTTTACTGCATTTAATTTTTAGGGACAGGAGGATCCTGTGTGTGCAGCCATGTACTCTGTATTTTCCCTGCCACCGGGTTAGCCTCTGCAGCCCTTAGCTGTCTTCTGCCTGGCCAGCAGGCCTTGACGAGCAGTATCTCAGAGCTTATATATATGTGAAGAAAGATTCATAACTGAAAACAGAACTCCTTCCGTTTGGAAGCCCCTGGAATCAGTAGTAGGCGGGGAATGGCTTAGTACTGTAAAAAGTAGTATTCAAAGACCGTGTGCTTCTTATTTTAACTCTTCTTAGGGCCACAAACGGGGTTCCTGTGAGGAAGAGCAAGGAAGGAAGCAGCTCAGTCCTAGAATGTTTTCATTGGGCAGGGGGAGGATATATTTCATTCATGGGTTTATTTGTCTTGTGAAAGAGTTGACAGTAATGACACTTTTCTGGAAAACAAGAGGCAGAACAGGATGTGATTTTAAACATTTGCTAGTCTGGGCTACATTCCTTGGGCAGTTAGCTAAGAGGAAGCTCCATTCATTCTAGAGGGTGATTCTATGCCCCTGGTTTTTTCCTCTTGGGCTCTTCACAGGTAGAATTTGCATTTTTGAAAACTGAGGTGGGGGACACTTGCAAGTAGTGAATAGAGGAGTGGGGTATGGGGGTGCCCATTATCTAGGTGAGTATTAGGAGCCACAATTTTAGGGTCTGAGAATTAAGGGTGTGCTGTTCTTGTGTGTCAAACCACCAAGGGAAAAGCACCCACAGGTGTCCTCAACCAGAAAACCCATCAGAAAGTTCCATCATCCCCTGCCTTGTAGTCTCAAGAAGTGCAGAACCAGGAGAAAATGTAAGAAGGTGTAGGGAGGAAGCCACCCTAGGCCCACCTATGACAAAAGGCTGTTATTCTGAAAGGGTTGGGGATATCTGTAAAACTGCTCCCTGAGAAGGGTGGTTCTTACACACAGGAAATGTCTTCACTGTCCTCTCTGGACAGTGTGAAATTTAAATTAAAAAGGAAATCATCAAGTGCCCTGATAATTTTACCTCCTACCAGTTTTTCAAGGAACTCCTTTCAGAAGGGATGAACTTCATTTTTTGTGTGGTGGCTTTGTTAAAAAAAAATTTTTTTTGGTGACCTTTGTTCCCTAATTTAACATCAGATAACTCTTATTTCTAAATATTGTGGTTTAGAAGTTGCACCCGTTTAGTGTTGGTATTTCTGTAACAGAAGAACCACCCATGTTGAGGAACTGAGAAAGGGTGAATTAACTTTCAAGTATGCTGGAGCTCAGGAGAATTGCAAACATTTGTCAGTGTCCTCAGGAACAAATGGGACTGATGGCATTTTAAACAATCTCTGGAGAATTTTGAGAAAACCTTTCCGCATTCCCTGTCCCTGGTTTGGTATTTTGTTTAGAATTTGTAGTTTTTCCAATTATCACATATTTTTGATACATACAGATTTTATCTGCTGCTTAATTTTGTGCATTTCTGCAAGGCTGCCTATTTTACTCTTCTGAGTATAATCTTTCGTAGCACGTAATCACCAAAAATTGGCAAAATGCTCGTTTGAATCTGTATTGGGTTTTAAATGCCTCCTATATGAATTTATTCATTTAACATCTGTGGCTGAGAGTGCTTTGATATTGTGGAAATTATTTCTGCATTTTGCTGATTTCAAATATTTTCCACCCCGAATCCCCAGAATTTCAGGAGGTACCATAGAATGAGATTGGATGTTCTCAGTGAGGGGACAATAAGAAAGAGGCTGATCTGTTCAGATAAAACAGTTTGTAGAGATTTATGGGTCAGTAAGTAAGTGTGATAAAACCTCAGTGACTTAAAGAACTAAGATACAGAGTGATGTCTTTATTACACTAAGGCTTCTGACGTTAAGAAACAGGATCTTCAACCTCTAGTGGCTTCAACATTAACCACTCAACACCTGTTCCCACACCCCTCTTTCTCTTTCTCAGATTTTTACATGCAAAATTAAGTCATCATCTTCCTCTCAGAATCAGTTCACATATCTTACAAAGTTGGATTTGTTGTTTTGTTATTCTTTTTTAAATAAGAGAGGAATGCCGAAACAAAACTCAACTTCACATGTTTAGACTAAAAATGTGTTTGTAGTAACAGAGGTTCATGCTACCTTCCCTCCAGTTGCCCTGAGCCAGCTGAACTCCTTATAGGAGAATACTCACCATGCTACTGTCCCACTCAGAAACAGTTGCTTGCGCCTACTGTGTAAATGAAATTCCAGACTCTAGCTTGGCGTTTAAAGACACTGCCAGAAAGTGGCCACACCCCATGTACTACTTCCAACTCTTACTTTCCAGTCAAACCTTCCATTCCAGGCAGGCAGGCAGGCAGGCAGGCAGGCCCGCAGCTCTTTAGGGTGACACCCAGAGCTGGGTTTTATTATCTTCTCCCTTTTGCCTCAAATGCCCTCCCCTTCCTTTTCACTTACAGAAATTCTTACAATTTTTAAAAACTATGTTTATACTCCAGTTATTCCGTAATGCTTTTACTGAGTGTTTACCATGTACCAGACACTTTAAGAGTTTCATGTATGGCATTTTATCTAGTCTTTATAAAACATCTGTCAAATTTTAGAGATGAGAAGATACAGGCAAATAATTAGCTCAGGTTCCCAGGTGATGTTGAGCCCAGGCTGTACATTATTTAACTTTATCCTCTCAGACTTCTAGATGTTAATATTCCATTTTCTCAAAAAATATATATATACATACATATATATATATACACATATATATATATATATATATATATGTGATGGCCATTGTGGAATGCCTCCCCTCACCTGGTTCCCTTAACTACTTACCTGCTCCCCAGAATACTGATTCCATTGGCTCTGACAGTGAGTTTGTAATGAAGACAGAATGTAGTTGAAAAGCATCAAAATGAATTTCTTCTGCCTATTTTGCAGCCCGACTCTGACATTCAGCACACAGTATTTCTGGAGAAGGTGCTTTCTCTAGCTATTCCAGGTCCATGAATTTATACCAGGAAGAGTTATGAAGTGTTTTGTCTTCCTTGGGACGTTGAAAGGAAAGAATTTCAAGCCGTGTAAATGCAGTACTCCCAAGTTTCTGTCCTGAGAGTTGCCTTGTTGAATTTTTTTATTTTTTAACTTTTTAATTCTTAGGGAAAGAACAGAGCTGATTTTATACCCGTGAATCATGAACAAAATTTATTCTTAAGTTTTTAGTAAATGATTTAATTTGCTGTGCTACGTAAATGTTTGTCTTGCCCCTTCTTAAACCTAGAGGAAGAAAATCGCTAGGTTTACAGCTGCTAATCATGAAGAAAATCTGCTTTTATGTTCAAAGTAATAGCTTTCAAATAGTTCTCATTGTGACAATGAAAATAATTGGTGACAAATGGTTTTTGTAGGGAGGGGGAAAGGGAGACGGCAAGACTCATCATCTAAGAATATTTTGGAGCTTGATGAAGGCATACGTAATTGGCTTTTTGGTCTGGATACCTGCCAATACTACAGTTTTTAAAAGCCCAGACAACTTTGTGGGGTGTCACCCTGCATCCCTCAAGAACACTGAAGCAGTTTTTCCGACTGTACCAGGGTTTCAACTCAATTTAGAAGTTTTTTTGTTTTTGAGACAGAGCCTCAAGCTGTCCCCCTGGGTAGAGTGCTGTGGCATCACAGCTCATAGCAACCTCCAACTCCTAGGCTCAAGGGAGTCTCCTGCCTCAGCCTCCGAAGTAGCTGGGGCCACAGGCGCCTGCCACAACGCCTGGCTATTTTTTGGTTGCAGCCGTCATTATTGTTTAGTGGGCCTGGGCGGGATTCGAACCCACCACTTGAGCCACAGGTGCCGAGCCAGTTTAGAAGTTTGTAACAGATTTGTGAATTAGAATCCTTTTTCAATGGTGAGGTACTAATAATTGTTAATGTGTGTAGCACTTCACTTTAATATATATCATCTTTCTTAATTAACTAAAGAAGGTTATTCAGATCGAGCACTTAGTAAATTCTAAATAAATATGTAGGTTCCTAGTACCAATAACCCTGTAAGTGTAAGTAAAGAAAGAGATGACTGAATTAAGATCAGCCAGTCTGAGGCTAGCTTTACAGATTCGGTTTTCTGGCTCCAAATTCGATGCTGCTCCCATGGTTCCACAAAGTGTGGGTTAGGGGGTGGTCCTGACACCTCTGCATCATGAATATGTTATGCTGCCATGGAAACCAAAGTGTTCAGGGAATGGCTCAGGTTTCTAGACTTGGGTAGCCCTCAGGTTTTGGTGAGCTAGGAACACCAATTTTTTCATCTG